TATATATATATATATATTTCATTTTATTTCTTTGTAGTTGCATTTATTGTATCCGATAAAAAAAAATTGTTAAGAATTTGAATATGGATCCAATGTTAAAAGAATTAGAAGAAGAAAACTTGATATTTAAGAATTTAAATATTATCATACTCTCGTTATATAAATACAATGAAATAGTATATAAATAGTGTTATATTTAAACTTTATTGTGTTTTTAATGGATAAAAAAATCACTTATTAATATAGAAAAACAAAGTGTACGTTATATGAAACATGCATGTACACCGCACAAGGTGGGATATATTTATTAAGTAGCACTGCTTTCCAGCACAACTTTGGTCCAATCTCATCCCCTTGAAGATAAAAGCCAGAGCTGTTACCAAATGTAGCGGTGCTAAATTTTGCCTCTCATTGCAACTACAAAGAATGAGATAGATATCATCCCCCAGCAATACAATTACGTTTTCAATCTCTACCCGCTAGGTCTCCAACTCAAGACTTTGTCACTTCTTGGCCTCGGAAAGACATCTCAACATGACTTAAGTAGTGTTGATCCATATCAAACAGTGATCATTCTGATCCAGAAGTACTTGATTTAATCCAACACTTCCCTTCATAATTAAACATGACAAAAAGTAATGTCTATCATTACATAATAATAAAATGTCTTTAATGTATTTAAAAAATCAAATTTTTAACGATACCATTCTTTTATTTATATATACTTACATTTTATTTTCATAAAATATATAATTTATAACACTCAAATATTCTGTTACTTATTGATTTTAACATTAAAATCCATTTTACAAGTATAATCACCACTCACAATTTCAAAGATAAAAAATTGAGGACCAAGGATTGAAAATTTTTGGATCGAAGATTTTTCACTAGCAAGAACACAATCTAATAATATATCCATTTTTCTATTCTATTTGTATAACCTAATATTTGATACTGGTATAATTTTCAAGCCAAAATAAGTAAAATAAGAATAAGTGCATAGTTATAATAGAATAGAACTCGATATCTATTTAAACCAATTTTTCTGTTTGTAGATTAAACAAAGACGTGATAGTAAGAAAAAGACTGTCACTAAAGATGAAAAATAAAGTTGGGAAACTTGTTACGAGAGTTAATAAGGCCCTGTCCTACCTTGTACCATGGACAAAGAGAAATCCATTTAAGTGGTGGGGATTGGATCGAAGAGAGAGAGAGGGAGGTTTAGTTAGGTCATTTATTTGATGGAAACTCCACTACATATATACGTGACGCTGGGGCATGCATGATTGAAGTTGAACATGAAAAAACAGATGGAGCAGACATCAAACACAGGCATTTGTCGTTCCCCTTAGGCTTCGAACTTTCGTGACCTATGCATTGTGCAGTTGTACCCAATATTACAGGCACCAAGCCCACCAACACTAAATACAGGATTCATGAATTTGTCTGCATTTTGATGTTAACACCTCATTTTCTTCATTCAACTTTCAACCTCCCTCGCGGAATTCCCAAGATTTAATTGATTGCCAAAGCTACATTTTCTTTGAGGACGTGTCCTCTTGTCATTCATTTAGGAATGTCAAAAAATTTCATAATGCAACATTTGAAGATAAAATTTACAACAAGTAGAAAGTAAATACC